CCGCGTTTCTTTGTCTTTAGAACTACTTACAGGCTGCAGTGTGCCAGATTTTCCCCACAATCTGCGACATGTACGCAAAGTTGTTGAAAGGGTTTAAGGGCGCATCACATTCTGGGCGTATATACAGAGCCCGCATCCGAACTATCAAACGGCATACCGTGAGGGTCCATGCGTCATTTGGCCCCAACTTTTGATGTACTGCTTTCTACCGTGACCTGCCGCAGTGTTATCGTGGTTACGCTGCTCCACTGTTGACCCTGAAAGTCAACCAACCGCGGCGGCCAAATTTTCGGTAAAATGAAAGTTGGAATGCAAGCGACCCGTGTGCTTAGATTTAAATTCCCGTTAAAGAACGGCAAGTGGTCGAAATTTCCGGAGCCCTCCACCACGGCGTCCTTCGACATCCTATTGTAGTCTTGGGACGTAAAATCTCAACCACAAAACCTCAAAAACTCGAACATAGACAGGCCCGTGAGTATGAGCCTGCGTGAGGCACACAAAAAACGTATCTCGAAGTGAATCTGAGCGAAATACCTTAAATTGTTTTTCATTTATAAATGCTCTTCATCACTTTTCGAGTACAGTACTGCTCCCCATGCTGTTAACTGGCCAAAACAGCAGGTATAGATGTTTCTATTTAGCTTCAGGCTAAGTTTCAATTCGCAATATATTTCAATAAAACTTCTCGTTGCACTGTTTAACTACGTCAGCCTATAGCAATGATTGGCAACCACGGTATACGCAGCTTAGAACCTGCGAGGTCAAATACACGCCAGACTCGTCCACAGCCAGTCACCTCTGCGCCGCGGCCGAGGAGACGATACGACATGTTGTGCTTGAGTGCACAGGACTGCAGCCAGGGCCACCCGGACAATCAATTCAGCAGACGAATTTGAATGGTGCCTTCGCGTCAGCGCTATAAGTTTCGGAGGACACGGTGAGCCCCCGGACTGGGGAGCCATGAAAACAAATAAACAGCGGCTCGAACATTCGTGGCGCACAAAAATATCAAACAAGTGATCCCGAAAAAAAATAAATAAAACAGAACTTAGATCGGTTGTTTATTCTTGAACTTTACTTTTCGTTTTTGTTTAAAAGTTCTACATAGGTGTGATCCGGGCTATGTCTGTTGATCACCCGATTACAAGGACAAGACCTCAGTGTGATAAGCATCATCAAGACAAAACTGATATCACGCCCATACTCTCGCGCTCCATTTCTTAAATCAATCAATCAATCAATCAATCAATCAATCAAACAATCAACACTCATTAAAAATTTATGTTCTTAATTATTATATTATTTATCTAATTAAGCACTCCATCAATCAATCTATTTTTTATTTCTATAGAGGTATTTTTTCTGATTCGTATCCTATATAGGACATCTTGTGTGTCATAAAAGCGAGACCAACAGATACTCGCTTTAAAAAAAAAAAACAAGAAAACGGGAGATCTATACAGAGGTTACACGTCCAAGAAAAAATTCAAGCTAGCATTACAACTAAGACAAAGATTGGGCCAATGGTGGAAGAATGTAGAACATAGGCGGGTGCTTATAACAACACAAACAGTGCTGTTAAACACCAATAACTACCTTGGGGAGGTTTTTAGTGCCGATACACCTCGTAATTTTCGATCACCCGCTGTGCTCCATCTTCCTGTAAAGGAGAAAGCTAGAGTTTAAAACTTCTTCCTCGCCATCACTTTTTTTAAAAGAGAGAATATGTATGGTTCCACGGTGTCTTATCAGATCGAGTGGCGTTATTAACCGATAATATGACAGCAATCCTTCTCTCGGCATGCTTATTAGGTGGTAAGAAGGGTTGGCGGATAGCCTAAAGTACAGAGTATGCATGAGATGGTACGCTGAGGAGCGTCGAATAAAGCTAGATGCCGTATTTTTTTTTTTTTTTGCAAAACCTAACAGCTCGTCTCATGAGGAACAAGGAAACAAAAATAACGATAAAGAAATAAACGGGAAGACAAATGAATATAACAAAGCAAGAAAGGATGAACGAAGAATCGAGGAGACATCGGAGCCGGCTCCAACTGGCCTGCGCCCCATTTACCGTGTGGGTGCGTAATTACGTACTCGGGGAGCGGATGGGCTGTCGTTGGGAGCTTAGCTATGAGCACTCGATCCCCCAGGCAATACCGGCCCGCTTCACTATTGGCGCGTTTTCCTTTGTGAGAGACAAAATACCCACTTTCGTATTACTGGTAAGGTTTATCAGCCATTCCTAAAACACCTTCTGTTGCTTAAAAAAAACAAAAAAAAATTTTCCTGAACATATAGTTCTGAACGTATAGTTCCTGATAGTTCCATATAGTTTCTGAACATATAGGCCATTATCATTGACACTGCAAACATCTGCATTCACATCAAAGAGACTAAATAATCATCTTTCATTCACAGGCATATGCGGTAAAACATACATTTTTAACTCATCTACACTCCCCCGTGTCATCCGCATGTGGAACAGCCTTTCAAATGAAATCGTTGCAGAACGCAATCGGGAAAAATTCCGGCACCTTTTACTCACCCATTTACAAGATTAACTGCACGTTTTAATCATATCAAAATCGGCACCTACGCATTTATCCACTACTAGTATCTCGCTTTTTTTTCTCTTGCTTTAAACTTATTTTGTTTGATGGTTTGAATACTAACATGCCATTCAGTTCTGTTGTGTTTTATTCAGTGATGTTTTCTTTTGAATAATGAAAAGTCTTTTCACAATTTGTGCATGTTTTTTAGCGTGTTTTAAATCATTATCTCACTGTTTACTCATCTGATGTTCATTGCCGTTCCATTCCTATTAAAATTATTATTAATATTTCTCATTCTCATTCCTGTTAGGATTTGCGTAATATTGACATTTAGTTCATGTTATTGTTTGTATGGAAAGTGTACCAATTCATGTATGTATTCCCTTTATGCTCCCCTTACTCAATGCCCTGTTGGGTCTGTAAGGTATTTTGAATAAATAAATAAATAAATAAATCTTTTGGCGGTCGTACAAGCTTTGATAAGGCAGGTGCAAAAAAATCAGAACATTGGAATTACGGTAAGTAAGGAACTTTTATCTTAACACTTCTGCGATTTCCTCATAGAACGCTATAACGCCATGTTGCTGAAATGTTACGCAACGTGCGGCTTTTTACTGCGATTGGGCGAGCTGACCTTGGAGTTCGATCTCTTCTAGCTCCTTCCATCGATGAGCGATAATGAAGCCCACCGAGCGAGTAGGTTCCGCGAATGGAACAACGCGCGTCTATATGGGGGGCAACGATGAGACGAACTAATTGCGCGAGGTCTTCATAATGGAGCGTAACACTCCGCGGAGATGTGGTTGAAACCACGCGTAACACGACGTGAGTTCGCCGTAAGAGGGGTCGCCGATAAGGTGGCCGAAATGAGCCGCGCGATTGGTTTCTATAGCGAGTGTCGTAATAGTCAGCACAAGATTGGCGTGATGCGAATTGGAGAAATAGAACTTTCCCATTCTCCTACGTCTAACGAATAAGAAAAGAATCCACTGGCACAGGGCAGGGGTACTTCGATACTGCTGAAAAGACACGCTCGTCCGAGAAATGAAGCGCAGGTGGGACTCGCTCGCTGGATTACATGCCGACCGGTTGTGCCCTCGCGATCTCCGACGATAGCGCAGCTCTGGCCGACTGGGCTCGCCCTACGCCATCTCCTGACGCCGACATGAGCTCTCGTCGAGTGGTGCCCCATCCTCGGACTTCTTCGACCGTGTCCATCTTTCCTATCCTCTCTTTACTTCCGTCGCTCGTTGTCCTTGCGCCTCGCTCTCTCCTTCCTATCTCTATATACACATCTTAATCCTATCCTTTTAATTCTATCTATTTAATCCCTCCTTACACCCATCCCTTGTGAGCTACTGTTGAGGTGTCGCACTCTGATGCAGACAGTTACGGGGCTCACTTTTCTCTTCTTTTCCCTTTTTAAGAACCACATAAGAACCCCATAAGCGCAGGCAGCGCTCACGCCACCTACGCCGGAAGAGGACGAGAGCGGGGAGAGTTGGCGCATGCGCAGTGGACGAGCGGACGCGTTAGGGAAGGGCTGACACAGCCCCGAGCAAAAGCTGCCTGGCGTCTAAAAATTGAGCAGTGGCTTAGTTCGGCCATGCCAGGAGATACGTAGCGTGAGCTACGGGGAGCCACAGTCTTTCACACACGTCGCACGCATATCCAAACGGACTGTTTACGAAGTCCCTCTCAAAAGTCCAAGTCACACTGGCGCTTTGGCTTGGTATCCCTGTATAGTCAGTCAATCGGCGAACAGCACAGTAGTAGTAGTAGTAGTAGTAGTAGTAGTAGTAGTATAGTAGTGGTGTGGCAAAAGGGAGACTGAATAAATAAATTAATAAAGCTAAGAGTAATACTAAAAGATGATACTTGAAACGATGGTGATGATGATGCTCGATTGAGTGAGTGAAAATACTTTATTGTTGGTTCGGCACAAAAGGGGAAGAGGTAGAAGAATTAAAGCAAGACTCTAGCGTGCTCGGACGTCCCGGAGAAGCAACCTACTCGCGTCAAACGCGTGGGGGCGCCGCTTTCGGATGCTGGCGTTCCAGGATGCCAAGCACCTGCCGGACCACGTCTCCTTGGTTGCCTGGCTCTTGGCTCAGGATTTTGCTGCAACTTAGCAGCGAGATGTGATGCCAGACGACAGGGGCGATAGCTTCATTGTCTGGCGGTTTTCAGTTTTCATGTTGCAGAACTGGTCAAGATATATTTTGTCTACAGTTATTTTTAGTAATATTTGAGGAACATCAAGTCCATCGTTTAAAAGATTGCGAAAAAAACCCAAACAATATTTCTCACTGGAATGCCAACCACCCCTGCCTGTGAATCCTACAACTGCACAGATCCCAATGTATGTGCGACGCCTAAAAAAAAAAACGAGCAGTGCCAGTTGTGCCCTTAAAGACCCTACGAGCAACACTCACGCATGCCACTCACATTGTTCGTCCTCGACGACGGCGTAGTTTCCTTTCTCGACGAATGTGATCATCCCCATGTGCAGGACGCCCATGACGACTCGCAGAAACTGGGTCTGCTCGTCTTCGCTCATGCCCATCACCGTCATGGCTTTCTGCGAGGAAATGAGCAAAATCAAACCTTTCACGTTAAGGAATCGATTCACTCAGTATACGTATGCGTTAACCACGATCTTCTAATGCGGTAACCACCACGCTAGTTTGTGTGCTAAACGAAACATACACGTGGCACGCTGCGTGGGTCAGTATGAGTGAACGGTCTCCTTCTGCTGGCCCACAGGGCATTAGAGTACTATAAACGAAAGCAGCTCGTTTCTTGAAAAAAAAAAAGTCACAGTTTCGCCGCATGGGCGAAGTAATGAATGCGATAGCAACAACTTGAAATGTAACGCTGAGCGGCAAGCAGATCGAAACATGCAGCGCGCTGCTCACGCACAGATAACGTACAAAAACAACATACAACATACACAGGACGGGAGCAAAATAACAACGTTTATTGCTCGACACTTGACGCGCTGTTTAAACAAAAACAACACACGAAACGTAATAACAAGTACAAAAGAGTGCAAAATTACAAGCGTCCCAGTTGTTATACTCGCTGTGTATGAAAAGCTAAACATCTACTGTGCAGCGAGTGAAGGGACCTTTGTGGGCCCAGAAAATAACGCAATCGTTCCCCTAAAAGCCGAAGGCACACGATTGATTGATTGATTGATTGATATGTGGGGTTTAACGTCCCAAAACCACCATATGATTATGAGAGACGCCGTAGTGGAGGGCTCCGGAAATTTTGACCACCTGGGGTTCTTTAACGTGCACCCAAATCTGAGCACACGGGCCTACAACATTTCCGCCTCCATCAGAAATGCAGCCGCCGCAGCCAGGATTTGAACCCGCGACCTGCGGGTCAGCAGCTGAGTGCCTTAATTAGCCACTAGACCACCGCGGCGGGGGCCCGAAGGCACACGATTCTCCTCATCGAAAGATAAGCGCGCGCGCACAAGCATCTACCCGCCCCCCCACCTTTCACGGGGGAAAGTACGTGTGGGAGATAAGCGCACGTCGGCGCATCGACGCACGATGAATGATGGCGGCGGCGGCAAAAAACCAGTCGAGATTGTACATATAATTGTTATCGCAACAAAACCGTGTGTCTTGGAGACCCATGGCTTACGTCCCTCGCGATCCGATCCATCGCAGAGTCAGCTCATTATCTACCAGAAGAAATTCAAATCGTGTTCTTTGCCACTTCGCACCCAGGAGATGAATAAATCCGAAGAACAGTATGATGAAATTGTGGCCACTCGCTCCAGCGACGCAACACCCATTCTCTCTCTTTCTTTCTCTCTCTCTCTCTCTCTCTCTCTCTCTCACACACACACACACACACACACACACACACACACACACACACACACACACACACACATATATATAGGTCAAGTTAGAAACGGAACCTTTGCACGCTACGTAATCAAGCACTCTTACTCCTGACAAAATTCTCGGTTTCGTTATATATTATATTTTTCACTTTTGGGTAGTTTGAAAAAAAGCACAATAACTCCGGTTTTACGTTCCAAAACCACGGTGTGGCTTGTTACGTTTGCCCCGGCAGTTCGTCTTAGCAGACGCCATTGTGCGTGAGCAGGTCTGCGAGAAGGCTTTCTCCCTGATATCAGCGCCCGGACGGAAGCGAAAAGCACGACGCTGTACTGCAGGTGGGCCTGTCAGTTTGGTGTGGTCGGGTTACGAGGAACTCCATGGGACCATCGCGAACAACCCTTTTGTTGAACGGGTTCGAACAGCGTGAGACGGCGCCACTGTGGCAGTTCTCATGGAGTCAGCCTCTCGACTCGGTTATTGTCGCCCACGCGAGGTCGCCACAAAATCACCGACAGTTGGGAAGCGTGGGAAGGCGTCCCTGTAGCCATTCTCAGGAAACGAGCACCTGGACGGCCACGTTCGAGAAAACTCCGGAACACTGTAGCAGAACGCAGCTTTGGACCACTGCTGACGTTCGTGTCAGCGGTCAGTTGATCCCCGGAGGAGATCAACTTTTTCCTCCACCGGACTCTACCTCCTCGCCCTGCGATGTCTTGAAGGCATGGGCCGGGTGTGTCTCTGTGAGGTGCACTCGTGCTCCGCATTGGACATTTTCACCCGTGTTTCTCATCAGCCGAGTGGTGCAATAGCTGCACCCTTTCCGGTGGGTGGACCATTGAGAATTCACGTCACCTGATTCGCGGCAACAGTGGTCACCGCCTTCTTCGGACTGACGTGTACAGAAATTGACAGGCTATAAAAGCCGAAGACGTTTGTAAAAAATCGCTGAAATCTCTGCTGAATCACTATACAGTTTCATCTTTCTCATCATGTAAATAAACCTTCGTTCTATCGCCTAAGAACGCGTCCCCTAACTGGCAAAGATCGGCTATGCGGACGACGGCGGGGTATGAGCTACCGTAAAGAAACCCGCCGCACCTGCCATCAACCTCGAACCCTTTACAGGCTGTATAAGGAACGCCGTAGTGGCAGGTCTCGTAATTAATCGTGACTACACATAGTTCTCTAACGAGCTGCTTAATCTGGGTAAGCGGGTATGCTCGCCTCTCGAACCCGTCGACATGCGGCCGCCATGGCCGGGATCAACCCTACGACTTTCGGACTAGCAGCCCAGCACCGTAACGACTCTGCAATGCCGGTGGACGACATGAACTATACGCACGTGGCACGGCTGCAGTGCTAAATGCGGAACGCAGCATGATGTATATATCCACGACGCGCATAGTCTCCCACAAAGCAAATATGTGCATTAGAAGAGGATACCGACTGTAGAGCACATTTTTTTTAGGTTCACTTACTGCGCGTGACTGTTCACGTGGAATGGATTCATGCACCGTTTTGTTGGTTTCAGTTGCCGTCCCCACACCTCGTGTAGCTGGCCCTCAACAAAGAAGAGCTGCAGGTGACATAGTGTCCAATTACACGACGACTGCTCGTTTTCTGACATAGAAACCGACATGAACTGTATCCGGTTTAATCTTCGATGCTTTCGCGACTTTACTTTTCGTTAATTCCTCTGCAACTACTTTTACTTCCCTTCCCTCAGCATAGGGTAGCCAACAAATCCTGAAAACCGAGAAATCCCGAAGAGCACACCACACACACGTGACGTATTAACAACATAACTGCCAACTGGTTACATACACCTTCGTAGACACATACAGGCAATAGGAAAATCTCAGGGGGGCAAGGCATGCTTTTGCGCATGTTTGACAAGGCACGCGCAGAACCCAAGGCATAAATGACAATGACAAGACATGTTTTTTTGCAAATGTGTGTGTTATTGTGTTTTTCTTTTCGTCCCGTCTTCATCACGCACATTGAGCTTTTTTTCTTTTTTAGGGTAGAGTACACCTGAGATCTGACGCAACTGACGAGAGCAAGGCCATAGGTCTTTGCATATGCTGACCTTTTTCTTAAGAGGACTGAACGCTGGGCATGTTGATAATTTATAGCTACAAAAACTGCGAGAAAAAAAGACAAGAAAGAGAGATGGCATACACACAAGCGCAGACACACAAGACTTTTTCTAGCTGATATGAGATCACCAACAGCGCCATGATATGCAAATGAGATGAAAGAAAAACCCTATAGAAACTGAAGACGCGAATATAAAGGCTGGAAGCGTATTAGTTCCGAGTCACTGCCTAATCCAGCGGCCCAGAACGAAAAGGGTGCCGCCTCAAGACTTTTTATCGATTCGGTGCCTTAAAAGTGAAAAAAAAAAAAAAAACGTGAACGAATCGGAGAGTTCCCCGAGGCATCTCAATAAAGGGGAAAACCTCTCGGTCAGACTGCAGAGTATATGAAAAGGAAGCTCATAAACAAAAGCTAACAGCCACCTCTGAGATAGCGGCCCCACCGCGGTGGTCTAGTGGCTAAGGTACTCGGCTGCTGACCCGCAGGTCGCGGGATCGAATCCCGGCTGCGGCGGCTGCATCTTCGATGGAGACGAAAATGCTGTATACGTCCATATGCTCAAATTTGGGTGCACGTTAAAGAACCCCAGCTGGTCGAAATCTCCGGAGCCCTCCACTACGGCGTCTCTCATAATCATATGGTGGTTTCGGGACGTTCAACTCCACTAATCAATCAAACCTATGAAATAGCGGACGCATGTGGCGCCTGCTAAGGGCAAACTTGCGAGATATCCTACTTTTTGGTTAGTTAGAGGAAAAAATAAGTAAAGTTGAAAAAAAAAAGCAGAAGGTAGTTAGTTAGACAGAAGATAGAAGCCAAAAAAAAAAATAGGAAGAAGCAGAATGCAATCTTTTCCTGGAGAAGAAAGACTGTAGGGAACTAATTAATACCTTACTAGTGCGAAGTAAGAAAATGCTGGAGCCAGAGCAGAGGATTAAGAAGTGCCTAAAAAGCGAAGGGAGGAAAGAACAGAGGCATTCTTCCCCAACATCAGGCTCAACATAAATGTGCGCATGGACGTACGTCTTCAAGCTATCATATTGAGAGGAATGTAAGCTTTGTAAAAATACTGGCAGGCACCCGTCAGTGTGACTGTCGGCGTTAATTTGATTACTCTTGAAGCGATATGACGACGGCATCACAGTATTTTCAGTCATGCGTCAGGTGACTATTGCAACCGAGCTCCTTTACAACCCTTCGCTGTGGACACGCTATGCCCCCTGGCACGAATTTCGCGCGTAGCGCATGTGCAAATACATGGTAGACGAAGAAAGTGCTTAACAGCGCAAACGACAGGAGGTAATAGAAGAAACGAGAACAGAGACGAATATGTATGTAAATACATATTTGGGCAAGGCTGTATGAATACCCCAGAAGGCGAAGAAAATAATCGTGACGCTTGTCCCGTGGTTGTGGTGTTTTTATGTGTTTGCGCCAGCAATTAGGTATGCCGCGAAATCCTTGTTGCCGGCAGCCACGAAATCGTACCATAGGCAGGTCTATAATCATACCAGCTTATGGTATGAATCAGATTTCACGTCGGGGTAGCCTGCCACAATTTTTAATAGGCTGACACACACACACACACACACACACACACACACACACACACACACACACACACACACACACACACACACACACGCACACACACACACACACACACACACACACGCACACACACGCGCACACACACACACACACACACACACACACACACACACACACACACACACACACACACACACACACACACACACACACACACACACACTTACCAGAGTCTCCTGGAAGTCGTGGGCGTCATTGGTTCCTTCCACCTTGTAAACTCCGCTTTGGTTCAGATAGCTGTAGTAGTCAGGGTTAGCCACTCCCAATTCTTCTGCAAATAGAGAAAACGCGTTCCTTTTATTCGGTCTATGTGAAATGCGTACGTTAGTTATACAAACTGCGGTGGTTTCTTTCTTACATGCAGAATACATGCGTTTCACAAAGAACGCTACGCGCACAGTCCTGTCTTTCCTCGCGTCACGATTGAACGGAGAATTCACATAAGTCTGACAAACCAATTGAAATACCGTGTGCACGAGGTCCGACTTACGTAGTACGCTTGCCAAGGCGAAGCCCTGAGTGCACTACAGCACGAAAAAACACACAACGGAAGGAACACAAACGACGACTACGAGCACTGATCCATTCTTTGTGTGTTTTTCACGCTGTAGTGCTCCAGAATAACGTACCAACAAAGCTCAATTCACCATTTTAATGAAACGCAAGCCTTCCAAGTGCTTCTCAAAACTTAGACTGCCGAACACTCACAGCTGTCAGGAAAATAGGATGTAGAAGGGTCATGTGTGCAAGCATATTTCTATGAACAAGAGCGCAAGAGTGCTGAAAAACAGCGTCTCCTGATCTTCAACGGGACAGCCTTGCTTTTGCGTCGTAGATGCTCGAGTCCTCCGGGGGGACCAAGGAAAGAAGCTAATATATAGTATTTCTCGCAGATCAATGTAAATCCACTTCTTTACTTGTGCACAAACATCAGTCCAATGTGTTTTTATTTCGTTTTACACCTCTATCTGAAAAAGTATTCCGCACATTTACGTTACACAACTAAGTTTCATACTACTTTTCATTGTTCTTATATGTTTTTCTGTCTAGGGCAGGTTTTTTTATTTATTTTGTGTAAAGCTCACATTCAGAACACGTGAAAAAAAAGTAGACGCCACCGAACAGAAGGTGCCACCATCTAATAAATTTTGTGCAATCACCAAAAAAATAATAAAAAAAGGTGCGGACGACTGGTTTCAAAACAACGTGCACGCATACTTACTCTTCATCTCCGGAGAGGCACCGTAGCAGACTTGGTAGAAAATGTGGAAATTTCGTTCGTTCGGGCTCTGGCTCACAACTCTCGACTGTAGGGGAGAAGGAAGCGGAGAGGACACGTCACTGCTTTCAGCTTTGCACACTGTCATGCGCACGCTTTTCGGGTGCAATGCGTACAAAAAAGACGAATGACAAAACATTCGAAAACAGGCACCTTTTCCAGGAGGAAATTGGAGATGCGTCCTCCCTCGGGAACGCCACCTCGGCTGAACTGGATCTCCACGTATTTGCCCTAGAATGAAATAAAGTAAAACATTTCGGTTAAATGACATAGAACAAAAATTGGATCCCACCTCAAGCACTTAGAGTCACTATATTGTTATTGGTACACGCCGTCCTCTATTCGAAAAAAAAGAAAAAAAAAGAAATGTGGAAGAACAGGCACAGAAAGGTAGAAAACAAACTAGTTACCGAAAAAGAGATGTGTAAGACGTTGCAATGATTATGCTTAACGTAAACACTAAATACGCAATTTTCTGTTCTGATAAGCCCCGCCGCGGGGGTCTAGTGGCTAAGGCACTCGACTGCTGACCCGCAGGTTGCGGGTTCGAATCCCGGCTGCGGCATTTGCGTTTTCGACGCAGGCGAAAATGCTGGAGGCCCGTGTGCTCAGATTTGGGTGCACGTTAAAAAACCTCAGGTGGTCGAAATTTCCGGAGCCCTTCACTACGGCGTCTCTCATAATCATATGGTGGTTTTGGGACGTTAAACCCCACATATCAATCAATTCTGTTCTGATAAAAACAAAACTACAACTTATACAGTCACCCTTTCAGCAATGTCTATTGATCCTTTTTATATGTCCGTGTGTACGTGAGCGCAATATATAGAATACGACAATTTTTGTACGGATTCTTCGGAAAGTTACACAAAAAACTATATACAGGCTTCATCTAGGCCGCCTTTACAAATTTCTTGCAAGCAGTGGCCTCCCCATGAAAAAGAAGTCACGCCTACATTTTATTTAAAATAAATGCCTGACTGAGAGAGATGCAGCTAAAAAAAGAAAAAAAAATGCCCGCAGCTTCCCTCGGGGGAACACTGAGGAGGATGCGGAGCATATAATTGGTTAACGGGGTGTTAAAGTGCGACTTACTTAGGTCGATGGCTAAATTGGTTAACGTGGTTGTGAAATGGGGTGTTAAATTGCGACTTACTTGGGTCGATGGCTAAATTGGTTAACGTGGTTGTAGGAGGGGGTGTTAAATGAATGAACACGTACACACGTATGCGAAAGGACGGCGCTGGTCGAAGGGACGTCGATCATTGTGTTTGTGGATTCGTTGGAATTCATTTCACCGCGACCTTGGACGTCGACGCGCCGTACAAACCAACCGACGAGCGGCAACTGAGCGAGCGAGCGCCGACCTTAAGTATATACAGCGCGACGGCGCATGCACTGTCAGCTGTTGAATGTTCTCGAAGGAGAAGCGCGCGCGCGGCACAGATGGCGACGGCGCGACGGCGCATGCGCTGTCAGCTGTCGAATGTTCTCGAAGGAGAAGCGCGCGCGGCACAGATGGTGGGCGACGGCGCGACGGCGCATGCGCACGCGTCAGCTGTCGAATGTTCGAGAAGCGGTGCGGACGGCGCGGACGGCGCACTACAAGGCGCGAGTATAAGATGCTTCCGCATCTAAAAAAATATAGGCCCAGTCGTTTCGCTTCAATCATAGAGTCGTATGCCGATAGCCCCGGAAGCTTTCTGGCTCGTGGGCGTGTCGTACCAGCAATAATTCCAGAAGAAAGAAGCACAAATGCGGCCCAGTATAGCATATTTCCAATACACGATGAAAATCCCGACGGACGAAAAGAAAATCTATTAAGTCGATGCTTTTATGCCACCCCCTTGGTGTTAAAACGTTGAAGTTGATGCGAGTGACCCCACGAACATAACAAACGCGTAGCGAAATCTAGAGCTTAGTTGTAAGTATAATGTAACGCTATAATACACAATGAAAAGCGCGCTTATCCGAGTAATCAATTTCATGAATAAATTTTATGCGTTTTATTGCCGGGGGTGGTACCAGAGTTTCATTACGGAGGCCTTTGGAACGGGGTGGGGGCTGTTTTCTTTTAGGGCGCAAGGGGGTGTTGGTAAGAAATTTCAGTGGGGAGTGGCAGCCACATCCAATCGTTCCTTCTGGCCATGCCCTTGTGCCCCGCAGGCTTTCACGAATATCACCCGTACGCGCAATAATCCACTGCACACAGCAAGAAGTGACACAACCGAGATTCAAATAATGCAGCGGAAGCTCACACCGGGAGCGCGAATCTTTTAACGAATTCTCTTTATGTGCGCCCTCGTCGTCCATACGCGACTTCCGAAGAATCGATGGGACCATTGTGAACGTCTCCCGTGCCATTGTTCCTGCCGTATACTATGCCAAGCACCGCAGCCCCTTCATCGAACAGCGGTAACCACCTCGATTCACGGCCATTCTCAGAAGGAAGGCTCCCTGGACCACGAACATACACACACACGCACTGACGACGTAGTAAGGCGATCAGGTCATCGATGAACACTTGCTGACCTCGAAGGCGATCGAGTGTGCTTCGTGTCCAAATACGGACGCAACACGTGCAGTATTATCGAATCGGGACGGGACGACTTAGGAGTACACATAACGCAGATGCTTTCGTTTCCGCCGTGTTCGGCACACTTTCTCTCTCCATCGGCCGCGGTCGATCGATGGTTACGGGGCTCGGCTGCTGACTCGAAGGTCGCGGGTTCGATTCCAGCCGCGGCATTGAGGTGGAGTCGAAAGGGCCCCTGTACTGTGCGATGTCAGTGGGTGTCAAATAAATTTACGGAGCCCTCCACTACGGCGTGCCTCACATTCATATCGTGGTTTCGATGCGTGACAGTCTACATATCATCATCATCATCATCATCATCATCATCATCATCATAATCATAATCATTATTATTATTATTATTATTATTATTATTATTATTATTATTATTATTATTATTATTATTATTATTATTATCCAGTATTCCCGTAAGCCTCTTTTTATCCCTCTAAAGGATAACAAACCGGAGGCGCCTCCGCTTAGCCTCACAGCCTTTTTTTTCTCGGCAATGTTTTTTTCCCATTTGCATGAGGTAATAAAAACGGTTCTTATGCCTCTGCAGCAAGAGTCATTATTTATAATAGCCCAATCGGGCAAAGGCATTTTGAGACGTTTCTGGTTCCTCCTACAATTTTCGTAAGTGATATCTACGCCATTAACCCAAAGTACCTCATAATGCACGAAATTAAAAAGAAAAGATCTTTTGCAGGTAAAATTACACCGTCGAAGAGAAGGTACGCGGTGATACCAGCCATAAGGGCAGGGTCAATAATAAAAGAGAAACGACGCCATACGAAATACACGAAAGATCGTTTTTCACCCCCCCCCCTTTCCCCCAACATTCCTCACCGTCATTTATGGCAGTCTATATGTTTAATAGTCAGTCAGACGGAGTCAGATTTCAGCTTTAACGACTGCAATTAAGGCTTCAAATAGGTAAACGAATGGAATTGAAAAACTTTATTTCAGTCCTGCAGGACGTGATTAGCACGTAGCGAGCGTCTCCCACGTAGGGACCGACAGGGAGTACCTGGCGGCCGCTTCGTGGGCCTGAAATATACATTTCCCGCTTCGCTGCAACAATGTTAATGATCGAGAGTTGGAAAATACAGCAAGCTGCGTCAACCACACCAAATTTAATGTGCACTGTGATACAATACCAAAAGTAACGAACGCTAGAAATGTTTCACTGTTTCTTGCAGCAGGTGCCATTTCGTTCGCGTTTACAAATCAAATTTTGCGGGAGCGAGTACTAGGTTGATCATGTTACGGCGCTGATGATCCAATACAATATTTATACTCTGTTTAAGTAATAATAAAAAAATTAATATGCCAACCAAATGCAAAATGAGCTTTTAAGCGGCGTATAATTCGTGCTTTCTTAACAAAAAAAAAGGGGGAATAGCTTTACTAGACTTCTTTCAGTGGCACGCGTACACCAATAAACACTTAGCAGTGGTTTAGCTCGGCTATGCCAGGATATACGTAGCGTGAGTCACGTACAGACTGACGGACGAACCACGAATGGACGCACGAATCACGCACGGACGGACGGACGGACGGACGGACTAGCAAGCGAGCGATTTCCGGCGCGCAAGCTGTGCCGCGGCGTGTGACGTCACTGTTTCTTGCGATTACGCAGAACTGCTACCCGTAAGCCACGCGCAACTGCTCAGCATCGGCCGGTGTAGCTTGCGCTACAATAATAGGTAATCTTGACCAAAACTTTAGACAGAGTAAAACCTACATGACGGTACAACGACCTTGTCTCGTAAACGCTGAACTTAAAAGAAACGGCATAACATATGAATAGTAATAAGCAAAGGCTATCACCTCGGAAGCATGAACGCAAGATTCAAGTGATTCGTTTACCGACAAAGCCGCCAACTCGCAAATCGCGAACATTTTGGGAGAATTCTCGACTCGAGGGAGGCCAAATGTTTGCCTGCTATGACATCAGATAATAGCAGCCGTCTGGAAAATTGTCCTACGCTTCCGATGCTTTCCTGAAAGTCATGAAATGTAGCGAAAATTACAACGAAACGACTTAATTTTTTTTCTTCGAAAGGGTTGGCCATCAGTGATTTAGTAGTAGGCACTCTGCATGCAAATGAGGTATATTCACTTAAATTGCGGGAAGCCTCCTCTGTTCACTTTCAGATGCTCTTCTTGCACAACTGCTTAATATATGCACGCTCGATAGAGCAACGAGATGAGCGAATGACAGCTCTAAACGGAGAAGACTGGAACACCCTTCAAACCGCTTCTGCACGCACACTCACTAGCATTTAAAGTTTCTCGAAAATGCATTACGCGCTGATTCCGCACAGGAAAATAAGCTTTTTTTTTCAGCGGCAATTGGGGAAATTGCAGTGCGAGAGCAAGCGAGCCATGAACTCACACTTAAGCATGAGAACCCAACACGCGAAGTTCGCGAAGACAAGACTTTTGTGGGAAAGGAAGTGGATGACACCGCAGAAGTGCGAGAATGAGAATAGTTGACGTGTAGTACGCGGAAAAATATAAAATCGGTAATGCCAACTTTTACGGCACCTAATACTCAGATCGAAGTAAAAGTGCGCAGTTGTTAAGCGTATTTTGTTGCACGAGGAGCGATGTAAAGTATATGTGCAAAAGGTATGAATAATAAATCTTA